AAGCTTAATGCCTTAAGTTCAGCTTCTTTCCTAGGTGCCGGCCCGCGGTTTAAGGCATGTTATCTTGTTTAGGGTGCTTTGGGTCTACTGGGCTGCGCGAGCTGGAGGCTCAGGACTTTGATGCCTTCGGGTGGCCGCGCCAGGCCGGGAAGGACACCAATACTGTTGATAAGTATCCCTTGCGCATATGCCCGGCTTGGGTGTGCCGCAAATGCCGAGCGCCGTGCCCCTCTGCAGAGATCGCTAGGAAGCATCGTTCGGTCAAGGGACAGTGCCCTTCTCGCACTGCTAAGGCGAGGGCGTGGATTCGGTTGCGCTCCCTTGCTGCCAATAAGAAGCTTCATGATGCTGCTCCTGCCTCTGTTCGCAAAGAGCAAGGCGAGCTCGCCTTCGCTGCTGCTGAAAAGGCCTTGCGAGCCCCCATGTCGTCGGTGTGATTCGAATTTCGTGCTTGAATGTTCACCGGCGTGGCACGTCGACGGTGGGGCTGCTCGATGCTCTGCTTCGGCAAGGCCCCCCACAGATTATGGCGTTGTCCGAGGTCAATGTTCCTGAAACGGCTGGCATCGGCTATCGCAACCAGTGGAAAGCGCATGGCCGGCATGTTGCTCTGAGCGCTCCTGAGGATCTCGGCAGCCGGGTTGCTTTGGTCAGCGATTTTCCTTTTCGGCACGTCCAGTTGTGTAAGGGTCCTGCTTCCACCAGGCACGTGGCGGGGCTCTTTAATTTGCGATCCCTCCCTGAGGATGATTCTTCGCTCCCTGCGAGCTCCCGGAGTGCCACTGATGAAACCATCCTGGTGGTGGCCTTTTATGGCCAGGCCGGCAACGAGCCAGTTGCCCAGACACAAGTGGATGAGGTTTTGGCGTGTGCGGTTACCTCGGGTTATAGGTTTGTGGTTTTGGGCGACTACAACCTTGAGCCTTCCCAAGGCCGCTTAGGATCGCTAATTTCGCAAGGCATCGTGCTTGCTGGTGATGAATGTGCGCGTGGCCGGCCCCTTCCTGCCACGGGCCCGGTCAATGCCCAAGGAGTGCGCTCTCGTCGCATTGACTTTGCTGTTAATCATCGTGACTTGCCTGCGGTTTCTGTGGATCACTTTACGTGCGATTTTTCGGACCACTTGGGGGTACACTACTCGTATGCCCTCGATGCTCCTTGCCCCTTGGTAGGGCCCAAGCGATGTAAGCCTCGTGATGATCTCCAGTCTTCTGACTTGGAGTCCAGATGTGCTCAAATTGATGCTGGACCTTTTGCGAGCGCCTTGGAACAGAATGATTTGGACGGGGCTTGGCGCTTCTTGTCGGACACCGCTGAGCTTCTGCTGTGTGAGCCGTGCTCTGCAGAGTGCGTTCCTCGTGCGTCTTCCTGGGAGCCTGTCGCCCACAGCGCCGCGGGACGGGCTGGCAAGCAGCTTGTGAAGTCGGAGAGCCTGCGCCTTTTGCTGCGACTCCGTGCGAGGCTTCAGGTTCTTTCCCACCGGACGAACGATGCTTTGCTGGTGGCGCGTATCAGGCGCTCACTCCGGTCCACGCGCTTGAAGGTGCCCAGCCTGCCTTATGCCCGTGATGGCGATGAGCTCTCTCTTCTTCCACATGTTGCACAGCTCATCGAGACTTTCACACAGCAGGAGGAGGAGGCAAGAAAGCAAATGTGGCGCACCAGGACGCGTGCTGACCTGCCTCGTGCCCGGTCTTTTGTCAAGCGGCGCGCTGATGAGCAACTTGCTTGGGAGCGTCAGCTTCCGGATGTTGCCAGTCCGGGCGACCCTGCACATCCGGCGGTCGCGGTTGCAGCTGTGGCGAAGGACCTGCGTGCGAAGCTCTGTCCCGCGTCCTTTCGGGCGGTTGACATGCAAGCCATGCGTGACCTGTTGCGGCCCTTGCCGCGCCCCGCAAGCTTGGAGGTCGTGCCTAACATCACGCCGGAGGCTCTCCGACGATCAATGCAGTCCATGCGGCACCGTGCTGCTGGGCCGGATGCGTGGAAACCTGGGCTGCTTTGTTCCATGCCTGATCTTTGGTGGGTGTGGACCTCCCAGCTGTGGAATCGGTGCCTTGCTTGTTGTGACGTCCCCGCCCAGTGGGCGCAGGCACGTGTGGTGATGATTAAGAAAATCAAGGGGGGCTTCAGGCCGTTAACCGTCTCTCAAGCTGTCTGGCGTGCGGGAGCAAGGATTTTGAATGCCCAACTTTCCGACTGGATAGGTTCTTGGAGGTCTCCGTCGGATGCCGGTGGCATCCCGGGCACGTCGGTGTCGGGTGCCCTGCTTCAGCTGAATGCTGCAATGCGCGGTGGCGCTAATGTTGCGGTACAACAGGACATTGCGGGTTTCTTTGATGCCATCCAGTTTGAAGCCCTTGAGGTCCTCCTTTCTCATCTGAAAGCGCCGCCTTTTCTTTGGCCACTGCTGAAGGCCTTTTACACGCGAGCTTCGCGCATCGTCCAATTTGATGGTGCATACAGTGATGCCTGGTTTAAGCCCCGCTTGGGTATAGCTCAGGGTTGTCCCTTAAGTCCCACCCTTGCTGCCGCATTTAGCCACCTTTGGACCTTGGCTGTGTTGAGGCAAGGGGTTTCAGGCCTGGTCTACTTGGACGACCGTTCCTTCTGGACTTTCTCTGCGGATCTTGGCGACCTGGAGCATGCGATTCGGCGCTCCGACCGATTCGATGCCACTTGTGGTCTTGAAATATCCCTGCCAAAGTGTGCGATCGTGGCGCCAGAGGGTCATGTCGAGGCTCCTGCTCTGGCTGCCCGATTAAACTATCAGTTTTCGCAAACCCTTGAAGTTTTAGGTGTCACTGTTTCCTTTAATGATGAATGGGGCTTGCTGAAATTTTCCTTGAGAAAAGCTTTGCTGCGCATGGACCTTTTGCGCTGGGTGACCGCTTGCAGTCGACTGCGGGCCCTCATGCTGAAATCGCTTGTTTACCCGTGTTTGGTGTGGGCCGCTGCCTACGCTACGCCGCTGGCAGGCGAGATGAAGCAAGTTAGAGATGCTGCGATTCGAGTTTTTGACTGTCAATTTTCCTTTGAAGCCCCGCGTGTCCTGATCTTCGAACATGTGGGGTGGATGCTGGAGCCACAGTGTGCTGCTGACTCTGCTGTGCTCCGCGAGGCCTGGCGCCTCCTCTGCAAGCCTCCGGCCTTTGCTCTGGAGCAGCCGCGTGACGCCCGGGGCCAGCGCTGGGATCAGCTGTTGCCTGCTGCGCCTGGCCTCCTTCGCAAATTGGGGTGGAGCGTGGTTGAACGCCCTGACGGCTTCTTCTTCGCCTGCCGCGATGACTTAGGGATCTCTCGTGAGGTGCAGGTCGGATGGGAGAGCTTCGCTGAGGTTAAGGGCTGGCTGTTTGACCACTACCGGCACCTTTACATGCAGAGATGCCAGCGCGTCTGGCGGAGCTTTCATAGGCCGGACCCGAGCCTTGCACGCGGCCTGGATCTTGCGCCTCCGTTGAGGGATGCGCGCTTCAGCTTTCGTGGGCACCGTGTTGCCATGCATGCCGTAAGGATCCGAAGGTGTGTTTTGCACACTAGCGTATACAAATTGCATTGGCGTAATTCCAGCGTCGGCGTATGCCATACGCTGGTTATACGCTGCGTATACGCTGGTTATACGCAGCGTATACGCTGCATACGCAGCGTATACGCATGGTATGCATGCCAATGTAATTATGCTGATGGCGTTTCATGGCAACTTGCGCTGATGGCGTTTGTCCATGCAGACAGGCATAGCATGCAGACTCGATTGTATTTTCCAAACAGTGGCTGTCCGCTGATGCAAAAAACGCTTGCGCTGATGGCGTTTACTTCCGCTGATGGCGTTTACTTGCCGCGACCATGCAACAACAGCAAATGCTATAATACATTATAAGGCATGCAAAGTGTTTTCAAAACCAGTGACTGCGTCCGCTGATGCAAAAAACGCTTGCGCTGATGGCGTTTACTTCCGCTGATGGCGTTTACTTTGCTTGCGATATATATATATATATATATATATATATATAGGAGCCAGCACTTGAAAATGTTGTTGGCGCAAAGTTGCACCAACAACATTTGAGCCAAAGACATTAAGGGTCATATGGGGTATGTGTATAGTGACTGCGTCCGCTGATGCAAAAAACGCTTGCGCTGATGGCGTTTACTTGCGCTGATGGCGTTTACTTTCGCTGATGGCGTTTACTTGCGCTGATGGCGTTTACTTGCCGCGACCATGCAACAACAGCAAATGCCATAATACATTATAATGCATGCAAAGTGTTTTCAAAACAGTGGCTGCGTCCGCTGATGCAAAAAACGCTTGCGCTGATGGCGTTTACTTGCGCTCATGGCGTTTACTTTGCTTGCGATAGATATATAGGAGCCAGCACTTGAAAATGTTGTTGGCGCAAAGTTGCACCAACAACATTTGAGCCAAAAGCATTAAGGGTCATATGGGGTATGTATATATATATGTATACATATCATCTGCACATCTATGTGTATCAGTAACTTACTTAAATTCTTTCGACTGGTTTGCAACATACGGCGGCTGGTTTCTAGGTTGCTATATAGCTGTCTGGGTCTTCATGTGATGTGTGACATGTTTTTTGCATGCGGGACGAGCATGTCTAGCACACACACACACACACAGACACGCAAACACACACACACACACACACACACACACACATCTGCATAAGACTCGTTGCGAGACATGATGGTTCCCTGATTTCGTTGCGTACTTATTCTACTGTTTACCGCAGATTGTCGGCGATCGTTAATTTAAGAGGTCGGGTTGTGTGGGGCGAGAGGATCCTGAATATGACCTGCATGGTTGAATGCTCATGACCTAAAAAAAACCACGTCGGCCAGAAAACCGCAAAGGCCTCTGAACTTCGAAGAAAGATGAATATCAGATGAACTTTCGAAACATAACATGCACCCACATTCGAAAGCCCAGGAATACGATCCCCATCAGTTGGCCAGGAGCCGTTTTTTTGCGACCATCGCACCGTTCAGCCTCGCAAGCATCGTCGCTTCGCATTCTCAGCACTGCTACTGAAAGGTTTTCGTTCCTCCAAGAGCAAGATATCTTCCAAAGATTTTGCCCTGACATCCCCACCAACTGATGCTCGTTTTGCTCGATCCCAGAGCAACGCCAAGTACAGGATGTAGCGCTGCTGGACTCGCAGCAACATCGAAGTCGAATGGCATTTGCAGGCGATTCGTTTGATTTTCCCCATGTAGGATTCAGAATCGAAGTTTTGGTGTATCCGAATATTTATTCGGGTCCGCAGCACATACCGAGCAAGATGCTGTAGATAGTGGTGTTTGGGCCGGATGTTGCACAAAGGGATGAGGAGGTCCTCGAATTTCACAGCCAGCCTTTGCCACGTTCGTAAATGCAAGTGCACCATTTCATCGAACTTTCGTGCTTCGCTTCCAGTGAACTTCAAGCCGCCGTTGTCCAGCAAACTCTGAGCTTCACTGAGCCCTCGCATTGCCAGAGCCATTCTCACCAAATCCTCATCCTGCGGCACAGAGAACAGCAACAGAGCGAGCGAGCGAGAGAGCGAGAGAGCAAGAGAGGGAGAGAGGGAGAGAGGGAGAGAGAGAGAGAGGGAGAGAGCTGAAGAGAGATTGAGAGAAAGGGAGAGAGGCACTGAGAGATAGATGGATGCATGCAAAAGAAAAAGTTAAATTTAGAACAGCATGGGGAATGCGGAATTTTTTGGAACATGGAACTCCTGAACGCGCTTGACCACCTCCTGGAGTTTTCTCGATATTCCCCAGATCAGGATCTTGACTTGCGCAGCCTTGAAAATTGTCCCGAGCTCCGGGTATTCGGTCCAAGGATCCAGGCCAGCATTTGCAGGGGTCAAAGATATCACAGAGAAGGATTTCCTTCAGGGTGAAAATCATGATACATGCACCAACGAACACAGCTAAAAGCCAACTACTAGAAGAAAACCAAAAAGCGTTCTTCAAAAAGCCCAGGTACCCAGTCCGGCTCTTGTATTCTTTCTTGATCCAAAGTGTCAACATCTTCAGATCTGCTCGCTTTGTATCCCAGCCAATCAGTCCCCGCATGACCATCAGTTTGATGGCGGCAGCAACAGCATCTCTTCCCACTCCAAGCAGGACTACATGCATCCAATCGAAAAACGTATTCTCAAGTCTCCAGCCTGGCATCGCCGTCCAAGGCGACAGGTCACTCGCTGAAGTTGTGTTCAAATACGTTTCGTGACTGATAGTCGTGAGAAGAAAAGGAGCATTCGCAGAAAAGTTCTTGTAGTTCATCCCACGGACCATATTCTTTGATGGTTTGATGGCAACGCATTGGTCGCAAAGCAGATTGCAGTTGTAGTGCCGTGTAAAGAAATGACACTCCCGTCTCGCTTTCTGGTCCCCGCGAAATCCATAGAAGCACGCCCTGCAGAATTACATGCACTTCACAACGGACGCTGAGTACAACATATGGTCTTTTTCCAGTGTATTTTCTTCTATGCTGGATGTGGATTGCATCCAAACTCAATTCTTGTGTTGTATCCTTCCTCATATTGCGATGGAAACCAAGGAGGCCTGTGGGGGATTCCATTTGAACTTCGTATAATGTGTCATAGAAGTAGAAAGTAGAATACATTCTTCTTATAAGTGACTTAAGCCATTTCCCAGGTGAAGGACCACGTGCACACTGAAATCGCGAAGCTCATGAGCTGGTCTTTCAAAATCCTTCAAGAGGGTCGCTTTCCAGATCGTGGGTATTATGGGGAAGAGCTTCTTGAAAAATCGAGTCGGGGAAAGAGCCGCGGGCTGCCCCTGGCCGGCGGATGGAAGATTCTTGAGCTGCAGCTATGTAAGATTTTGGGTAGCCGGTCTGAGTTGCAGGTCTGTGCTTTCCTGTACATTTCTGCACCATCAAAGTGAACAAGGAGCGGCACAAGCTCGGAGAGATCACAGCTCTCCAAAGCCGGATGACCCTTGATATCCATCGGCGCAAACCGTTGCAAATGTTCCCAAAATTCTTTGATCGCATTCGGTGTCTGGTGCCCCAGCATGCTCGTACCAAACTGACAGGGAACAAAGAGTCATATTATGTAACAAGATGCACCAACAAACCTTAGAACCACTCGCACGGAAAGAGACATGCGTGAAAACAAACGAGAAAAGATTGTCGCAAAAGGTTAGTCTTGTGCTCCCTCGGTGTTTTGTGTCCGGTCGGAACCTGATACGCACTTGAAGAATGAAGCTCAGCGAAGATCTCGTGTGGTAGGAGAACAGGAATCCTTTTGGTTGCCGTCAAAGGTTTCCCGGCGTCCTCATCAACATCCTCCGTTTCAAGTAGCAAGTCTATATAGTATGGTTCCAAGCACATTCCAAAGATACCTTTCAGCCATCTATGTAGGTCACGCTCAGCATTCGAAGGATGCTGCCCAAATGATCCCAGGCTCGCAAAAGCAGAGACAGCTTCCTTTGGAATCCCATCCCGAATCATAGCCTGCGCCAAATTTTGAGCATGTGCCACATGGGCCTTGCCACTCCCAATCATATCCAGAAGCTCTTCTGCTGCATGAGAATGTGGCATAGATTCATAGTTCATTCTCCGACGAAAGGATGTAGGCCTGCATCATGGCAGTACAGCAACATGAACTGACCAAAGCACATGACGATTCAAACGGCAAAGCCTGGGCTTGGATCGATCATCATCAGCACGGCCTGCCAAGAAGCAGAATCTAACTTCGGAATTCAACACACAAACACAAGAGACCGTGTTTGCAAGCAACCAGCATGACATGAATCATACTCTTTCAGCAGAACGAACTGCGGATCTCGTCGGCTTTTGCCATCGTGGCAGCTGCACATGTTCCCAAAAGGAGCTTTCGCAAGGCATTCGGTGACATGCATAGCACACTTGTCTCAGGAGCATCTTACATGCACCCTAACTTTGCAAATTCATGCAGCTTACATATTTCTGCATTCAACAGGAAGACTCCCAAATGAACACTATCAAACTGTCAAGTGCGCATGCACGTCCCAGCGAGGGCTCGCCTACTGGCAAGTCTACCCCACGTCAGAATGCAATCGTCCCAAGATAAACGTCATGTGCGGTGCATCCCAAACCTACATCATCATCAAGCAGCCGCTTTTGCGGCAGGCTTCGCAGCAGCACCTTTGGCGCTTGCTTTGGCTCCTGCCTTCTTCTTCTTTGCTGTCAATCCAGACTGCAGGCCGTTTGCTGCTGCCTTAGCAAGCATGTGTTCCGCACACAGATCCAACAAAACTCGCACACCGCAGCAACGCAAGATCAGTGAGCCTGGGCTTGCTGGAACCATGGCTTCTTCTTGGCCACATACTTCAGAAACTTGTTCAACTCGGCATCCTCGGTGCTCTCCTTTGCCTCCAGCTCAGCTAGCCTCTTGTAGGTCAGCTCCATCTGCCTGGAGTAATTCAGCAGCTGTTCGGCCAACTTTTCACCGTAGTTGAGGTTGTTCAGGGTGAGGGAGGTTTCCCGAGCTTTCGAAGCATCCTTCAGGATCTCCGGCTTCGCTTCTGCCACCAGCCTTAGCATAAATACCCACGCACAAGCAGCAGCGCAGACACCATTGAAGTAACTCAACAAAAGCATTCAAGCAACTGGCGCACGGTCTTCGGTTCCATCTCCTTGGCATCCTCCGTTGACTCCTTGTCCTTCCTGGGCTTCGGTGTTCGCTTTGCCACAGCAGCACCCTCATCGAAGAAGGCCAGAAGCGCCTTCTCGCCAGCCTCAGTGGCTGCGTGTACCGCAGGCAAGGTGCCTGCCTGAAGCAGGTTGTTCTCCTCCAGTACCTTCGCCAAGTCCTCATCCATACCTTGTTCGACAGACAACTTTTGTTCTTCGCTCGTGGCATTGTCAAGCCGCAGCAGGTGGCCCTTCGGCATGTAATACCATGCTTCCTCAGCAAATGCATATATGATAACATGCACAGCAAGAACAACAGCACAACACGGCTCAGAACTCCCATGGATGAAACCTAGTCACATCTTCGTTCTCGGGGAAGTCCTTGTCTTTGTACCAGCGGCCTTCGGCTTTTCTTGCTGCAATCACTTGCTTGTACATTGCCTGGCAAATGTGTTCAGCCTGAACTGTGCAACCGGAAACGGAAAAGTCTTCTGCCTCGTCTGTGTACTTTGTCTTCAAGTCCTTTCCCTGAATAGCAAGAACATCCTGGCGATTTAGGCTCTTCTTTTCATGCTTGCGTTCCATAACCAACTTCACCCTGACAGCATTGCAGCACCCTTCGAAACATGTCTTGCTCCATACAACCGCAAACTCACGCAAGCAAACTGCAAACCCAAAGACAACTCATGCAGCCAAATAGCTCGTCCCAATTGCCATTGCAATCGAGCCATGCAGCAAACAAATCCGTCTTGGACTTGCTCGCATAGTTGCTCAGAGCGACGGGGAACTTCTGGCGGTTCTTAATGGCACGATCAAAAACCGCCCATTCCTTCCTGTGTGTGGCACCTTAAATGCACTCGCAATATCGCACGGCAACTGAAACAGCAAGCTTGCATGTATATATGCAATCTAGGGAGCTGTTCCGAACGGGCTCAGTCGCCACGGCCGTACTCAACGCCTTTGTGTCCTCAGCGTCACTCAAGGAGTCGCCGTCCACGTTCTCCTCCGACTGGTCGCTTGACGAGTCGGACTGCATGTCCTCTTCGTCCAAGACACAATCTTGCGACTGAGGCAGCTCCTCGTCACTGTCCAAAGCGCCGGCACCTGGGGTCCTTGGAGCACTGGTCTCCTCCTGCTCTGGCTCGTCCTCCTCTTCATCGTCCTTGGCTTCTTCCGAAGCTTCGGGTGCCTCGCCATCTGAAACCTCCGAGTCCTCTTGGGCTTCCGCTAGCTCCCGAGCTGCAAGCTCCGCCTCCAGGAATGCCACCTCATCGAAGGCTTCCGCCGTTTCATTGTCCTATACTCATGCACCACGCACAAACTGCATATCTACATAAACTATAAGACACCATTGCAATGTGCACGGTCCACGGTCCTGCTCCTCAGACACGTCCTGCTTGCTTGTGCCTTCCTTCTTCCGCTTCTTGGCCGTCTGGTCTTCCTTCTTCTCTTTGCTTGCCTTCTTCTCCTTGCTTTCCTTCTGCTCCTTGCTTGCCTCCTGCACTCCCCTTTTGCTGTCCTTCTTGTTCTTGTGGTCCCTCTGCTCTGCGCTTTCCTTCTGCTCTTTGCTTCCCTTCTTCTCCTTGTTTCCTCCCTGCTCCTGGCTGACCTTCTGCTCTTTGCTGTCCTTCTTCTCTTTGCTTTCCTCCTTCTCCTTGCTTTCCTTCTGCTCTTTGCTTTCCTTCTTCTCTTTGCTTCCCTTCTTCTCTTTGCTTTCCTCCTTCTCCTTGCAGTCCTTCTGCTCTTTGCTTTCCTTCTTCTCTTTGCTTCCCTTCTTCTCCTTGCTTTCCTTCTGCTCTTTGCTTTCCTTCTGCTCTTTGCTTTCCTTCTTCTCTTTGACTTGCTCTTTGCTTTCCTTCTGCTCTTTGCTTTCCTTCTTCTCTTTGCTTTCCTTCTTCTCTTTGACTTCCTTCTTCTCCTTGCTTTCCTTCTTTTCCTTTGCGACTTCGGTTTCTTGCTGTTCTTTTCGGCCCTTCTTAATCGCAACAGGAGGGGCTGCGAGGCTACTCTTAGTAGCACACTTCTGCAAGGAGACCATGAGTCTTTCGTGCCGGGACACTTCAAGCTTCGACGGCCTTGCCTTCTTCTTCGGCCGGCTTTCGCTGTCGTCTCGTGACTGCTGGCGTTTCGTTGAAACCCTATGAGTCACAGGATCGCCGGCTGCCATGGCAGCTCAAAGATTAACTTCACAAAACAGGAGCCACCAAAAGCTTGAAAGCAAGCGCCCCATGCAGCACAAGGTGAATGCATCGAAGCTTCATGTGCTCTCACTTCATGGAACCTTGCTTTGCATCTCAAGGTGTCTGAGAGAGACGAGGACACAGACAGATAGACAGACAGACAGACAGACTCTCCATATAGCCTGGGCGGGCTGGGGCTGGCTTGGGTGGGCTGTATACGTTATAAGACAGAATGACATATATGGACAGACGGACTTGCCCATGGATGGGCTGGGCGCATGGGCTGGGGGGTTGGCTTGGCTTATATGTACAAAGACAGAGAGAGACTGCATGCAGAGAGACAGACAAGACAACATGCATGCATGTTATATACATATACATACACTATATATACATTATGTGTGCAGGTATAGGAAAATGTGTGTGTGTATATATATATATATATATATATATATATGCATGCATGCACATGCATGTACATATGTGTGCATATTACTGCATGCACCTGTGGCACCAAATGCAGAATATATATAGGAATCCTATAAACTATAGATGTGTATGTTGCATACGATATAATATATCCATGATGTATCATATCACAGCAGCAGCTGCTGCAAATCACGGCGGCGGCGGCTTCTACAATCACGGCGGCGGCTTTTACAAATCACGGCAGCGGCTTTTACAACTCACGGCGGCGGCTTTTACAAATCACGACAGCGGCTTTTACAAATCACGGCAGCGACTTTTACAAATCACGACAGCGGCTTTTACAAATCACGGCGGCGACTTTTACAAATCACGACAGCGGCTTTTACAAATCACGGCGGCGGCTTTTGCAAATCACGGCAGCGGCTTTTGCAAATCACGGCAGCGGCTTTTTCAAATCACGGCAGCGGCAAATCACGGCAGCGGCTTTTACAAATCACGGCAGCGGCTTTTTTCAAATCACGCGGCAGCGGCTTCCACAAATCACGGCAGCGGCTTCTACAAATCACGAATCACGGAAGCGGCTGCTACAATATCACAGCATGCGGTGCATATCTTTTGCAAATCACGGCAGCGGCTGCTACAAATCACGGCTGTCATCTTCCATCAAGTGCCGAAGTTGCGCTCTTTCGTCTCGAGTTCTGGCTGTTCTGGGGGGGCATTGGTTGAGATTTGGGGTCGAAATACAAATCACGACGTTCCACGCCAAATCGCGCCAGCGTCCACGCCAAATCACATCAGCGGCTGGGGTGGTTTTGCGTCGTTTTCGTTTCGTTCGGTTTTTTTTTTTTTTTTTCGGTGGTTTTGGTCCGCTGCGAACTCTCCACTCTCCGCTCTCTTTCCCTTCGCGCTCTCCGGTTCGGTCTTCCTTCCCATCTCCTTTCTCCCTTTGCGTTCTGCCCTCACCTCTTCTCTCCCCTCTGCTCCCCCAGGCACCGGTTCACAAACCGAGCAGAAAAGCAGCACTGACTCTCTTGTTTGACACACACACACATGCATGGCACCCATGCATGGCCTTCTTCGACTGGAGCACGGCATTTGGCCAATACCAGACCGCCCGGCTTCAATATGAACGGCGGCATGATCCTGCGTTGCAAGCCAGCATCCATGATTGCATATTGATCCATATAGAGCTGGTATTGCAAATCAACATGCATGCTCACCGGCAACCTGTGGAATCCTTTTTCGGCCCCATTCCCCTGCACATGATGCCTGCACTCAATTATATGCATGCTGCACACATAGCAGCTACTGCTGCTGTCGCAAGAATGCAAACACCTTCTTGAAACCGGCTTTCCGCTCCCATCTCTTAGAGATCTTACACTCTGCAGGAAGCCGCAAAGGCTGCTTCAGAGCCTCAGCGAGATCTGCCCAAGCCTGCTGCTTGATCTCAGCATCGTACTCCGTCCGCAAGGATGACAAAGCAATGCCAAACCTTACTGGGAAACAACACTCATCGCGGTTTCGGGGTTAATTGTCAGGGCCGCACGAACCGCGGTTGTAATGCAATTGCAATTATTGAGGGCCCCACTGTCTCGGATAGGCTTGTGAGCCCTTCAGGTTTCGGCCGCCATTCACACGCTTGCATCCGGTCTCGTCGGTGTAATGCACTGACATTTCCCATCCCTTCTTCTGCTCCTCGGTGGGAAGGTCTTCCACCGGTGGCTTGAATCGTGGAAGCTTCTCCAGTATCTTCCGATCTCAGCAAACATCAAGGGATGCATGGCTACTCCGACATGGAACCACTTGCAAGCATGACTCTGTACGTGCGGACAAGGCACTACTATACAACCATGTTGGTTTTTTGGATTTCGCGCCGAAATCTTCCATCTGAATAGATACTCGATAGCATTTCACACAGCCAAAGAGCAGCTGAATGGCAGGATGGGATTCCATCAATGACCGCTCTGGTTGTTCCAATATCCAGAACACCCCCTTAGCCGAACAGATTAGGAGGAGGACAACAACTCGCCACAGCATGCAGTTTGCATCCTTCACAGACTGCACAGACTCGTCTCCCAGTACATCGCCAGCCCGTCGCATTGTTTTGGATTGAGACCTCAAGATTTCTTATCAGCACAGCACACATGTCAGCTGTAAGGGAAGCACATCATATGCATTCCATAGCAACTTGGTGCCCTACAGAAATATCCATGATGAGCACACAGGGGCAGTGAGTTTTCCACTACCAGGCACCAGTCGAAGGCACTCAAACAATGCATTGCAATAGCCCAGGGAGCTGAGGATATTCATCGTGCGCTCGTTGTAGACGATGTCATGTGGGATCGCATATCGGCCAGCCTGGGAGAAACATTTACAAGGAGGGGCTTTTGGGAGGTTGTGGGTGGGGGCAAGCATGACTTAACTATTCTGCAAGCAAGCAGCTCGCTGCTCGGCTCGTGTAACTGCTCTGCTTCCAGCAAACGTTTCGAAGTGGTGCAGGGCAACATCCCAGGGCAGGCTTTGGATTTGTGTCATCATAGCCACCAGTTTAAATACAACCTCTGCAGTCACGACACTGGAGTTGAGGGTTATAGTGGGCACAACATGATGCACTCATTGAAATGCAGGAAAAGCTCCAATGGCACAGCACCCATCTTTGCCAAACCGTGCAGCACCCACGATTGCTGCATAAGCCGCGGATTCTTCCGCACGGCACGATCCCGCCGCAAAGTCTTCACATTCTTGCGACGACGATGCTTCATCGCAAAGGTGAACAGCCAAAGCACGTCAGTGTTTGCATGGTACATGTGTATCTAGTACAAAGTTGTTTGTATGAGTCTGTATGCACACAACCACTTCCATGCATGGTTGCACGGGTTCAGCACATGTATGACATTCCGTATACACATGAGCCTTGTACGGCTCACACATTCATGGGTCAACGCACATGCACACATACGCCCTCGCACAAGGCAGACTTGAATTGCTCTGCTTGCATCATGCACTCAATCACTCATGCTAAGCCCTCCATGATCGGTCCTTCCACAGAATCTTCGAGGTCCACATATATCCACTGCGGCCAGGCCTGCAGGCATGCATCCGGGATCAAACAGAACTTCATGCTAGTCTTGCAACTCATATAGCCATGCGACGCACAACAGACCGTGAGCTTTGAGCACACCAGCTCTTTTTGCGGTTTTGCGGTTTCGCAATCGAAGCCACCCCTCGTTGTGGGCCGAGCCTTCGGCCAATAACACAATCATGCTGGAAGACAGACAGCGCTAGCTCTTGATTTACAACTACAATACTGCTATTCCTGCGATGGCGAAATGTACATAATTTCTTGGCTCGCACCGCTCACGAGGGCCTCCGGGCCTCCACTTGCACGTAGCAAGAAACTGCGAAACTTCTTCATACCCAGCACAGCAGGCACATCAGCAAGACATCTTACGAGCCAGCAGTGACCCTAGCTGATTTTGTTGTCTGTGTAGGTTCGCACCTGCAGCACTGCATTCCGTAGAGGGCCGTCGGGCAAAATTGGCACAGCCCGAGAGCCCAAACTCTGCTCCACCACAGCACATACGCGGCAACAGCTCACAACTTATGGCCAGCTGTGACACCAGCTGATTGCATGTTTTAGCTGCGTACATATTCGTACGTATTATCACAGCCATGCAGCACTGCAGACCGGAGCCTCCCAAAATCTACTCTGCCAAAGCACCGCCAAGCACCCCAGCAACAACTTATCACATACCATAAGGCGAACATCTTAAATGCATGCTTCGTTCTCAAGTCGCAACACGATTGGCCGGTGCATATAGCAGCGAGGCAGCGACAGCCGGAAGGATGGGGTTTCGGTGATCTCGTTTTCATCGCACTGTAGTACGAACAGCATATCTTACAGTAGTGCATGTAGGTAGTAGTAGTAGTAGTAGTAGTAGTAGTAGTAGTAGTAGTAGTAGTAGTAGTAGTAGTAGTAGTAGTAGTAGTAGTAGTAGTAGTAGTAGTAGTAGTAGTAGTAGTAGTAGTAGTAGTAGTAGTAGTAGTAGTAGTAGTAGCAGTAGTAGCTAACTAGTAGTAGTAGTAGTAGTAGTAGTAGTAGTAGTAGTAGTAGTAGTAGTAGTAGTAGTAGTAGTAGTAGTAGTAGTAGTAGTAGTAGTAGTAGTAGTAGTAGTAGTAGTAGAAAGTATTGGTAGTTAGGATTGTTGTAGGTTGTGGTGGTCACGGCAAATCCCATCCCACTCTGTCCTTTGCCACTTTCCAAGCAGCCGCTACACTCCCTACCGTCTTCCAGCCCACTTGCCCCACTTTGTGGCCCGCGTCAGCTGCCAGGTCCGGGTGGATCTTTTTGGCATAGAAGGCTTTATTCCTGCAAAGGACCTCTATTGCACACTTCTGGCTCGGGCTGCGGATCGTGTAGGAGTGGAGTCCCTTCGTTGGTCCCTGTGGGAAGGCGTCTTTGGGCACGGCCAGGTCCTTGAGGTTGTACTTGTGAAACATGACATCGGTACGGTCCGTGGGCTCCTCGGCCGCCTTCTTGGCGGCTTTCTTCTTGCGACGCTTGAGCACGCGTCTGAAGCTGCCCTTCTTTCTGAGCACCTTCGCCTTGGCCTTCACGGGCTTCGCGGCCTCGGCCTTCGCGGCCGCCTTGCGGGCCTGCATGCTTCGATATCCCTGCTCTCCAACTGGCTCGACATCAGCATGCATCATATCTTTGTTCAATCCCATGAGCTCCGCAATCGACGTGGGCGTGCTGCATGCCTCGTCGTCCTCGCTGTGCTCCTCCGCCTTCACCATCATGAGGTTTGGCCGCTTCTTGTTGTTCCGGGCAGGGTCCTGCCCCAGTCGCGAATGAATAGACTAATGTAGTAGGAATCCATGCAACGGGTTTCTCAATACTATCTTTTATGCAACTGCCCTGAGACTCCTCATCGCTGCTGGACATGAACGGCTCTGCCATGGGATCATCCTCGCTGCCCTTCGATCAAATCAATTGAAGGACATGTTCCAAAACCTCAACGACACTGATAGATTAGCTGCCTCTGCGTCCATCATAGTCTCGGGGAGCCACTCGGGATTCGTGGGGCTGTCGAAGTCGCTTGGCAGATCCTGGCGGGACGGGATGGAGTTTATAGGTTAGCAACATGGAAAAAGCATACGAATCCTGGTCCGATGGCGAGTCCAGTGGGCCCTTCTTCTTCTGCTCGATGTCGCTCTTGCCTGGTCCATCCTGCAAAAAACATACAACTAGAAATACCACTATAGAGCTGATTCACATCCGTCCTTCTCCCGTCGTGGGCCCTTCCTCTTCTGCTCGATGTCGCTCTTGCTTGGTCCATCCTGCAAAAAACATACGACTAGAAATACCACTATAGAGCTGATTCACATCCGTCCTTCTCCCGCCGTGGGCACTTCTTCTTCGGCTCGATGTTGCTTTTGCTTCGTCCATCCTACAAGAACATTAGAAATAACACTATATAGCTGAATCATATCCGTCCTTCTTCGATGCCGTCTCCAGTGGCCCGTTCGGCTCGATGTCGCTGTTGCTTCGTCCATCCTGCAAGAATACACAAAATAGAAACAATACTATATAGCTGTATCATAACCGTCCTTCTCCGATGCCGAGTCCAGTGGCCCCTTCTGCTCGATGTCGCTGCTGCTTCGTCCATCCTGCAAGAATACACAAAATAGAGATAATACTATATAGCTGTATCATAACCGTCCTTCTCCGATGCCGAGTCCAGTGGCCCCTTCTGCTCGATGTCGCTGGCGCTTGGTCCATCCTGCAAGAACACACAAATAGAAGTAACACTAGCTGATTCATATCCGTCCTCCTCCGATGCCGAGTCCAGTGGCCCCTTCGGCTCGATATCGCTGGCGCTTCGTCCTTCCTGCCAGAACACACAATTAGAAATAATACTAGCTGATTCATATCCGTCCTTCTCGGATGCCGAACCCAGCGGCCCCTTCGGCTCCATGTCGCTGTCGCTTGGTCCATCCTGACAAACACGTACATACAAACAACTCTATATGTAGATTATAAACCACACCCGTCCTTCTCCGATCGTGAGTTCTGTGACTCCACAAATGCCCGGGCCCAGTCGGTGTCAGTTGCGAAATCCTGCCAAACACGCAATAGCACACAGCTTTTCCCAATGAGATTTACTCAATACTCGTCCTTCAGACGTGGGCCGCGGCGGCCCAGCTTCTTCGACTCCACGTTGCTGTCGCTTCCCGGATCCTGCGAAAGTATTCAAGGCACCCACAAAAAATCTTGCGTGTGCATGAACTTTACACTCCTCCTCCTTGGACGATGTCCCGGGGCCCTCAACATCGCTGTGGATGTCGGAGTCGCTTTGCGCATCCTGCAAAAACCCACAACTATGAATAACTCTTCGTCTCAACCTTACACTCGTCCTTCTCCGATGCCGAATCCGGGCCCTTCGGCACGTCGATGTCGCTGTCCTGCCAAAACACGTAACGAGAAGCAACTCTTCTGCGTGAACCATAGTTACTGCGTCCTCTGCCACGGATGGGCCGATCATCTTCGGCTGGCCCTTGTACACCCGCAACAAGATGCAATGAAACAACTATGGAACCTCTAAATCAATTTGGCCTTCTTTCGGGAAAGCTTCTTGTTCCTCTTGCCCATCGTCCGGTCACACTTTGACTCCTGCAACATGACGGGACTACAAAGTAATTGTTTGAATGAATCATGATCATCACGAAATCCTCGGGCTTCTCGGAGCTCGAGCTCACGGCATCCATGATCTTCTCGGCCTTTTCGAGGTCGGTTTCTTCATCCTGGAACATGCAAACACTTGTTGATCATGACTGCAACATGCACACATTAACGTCCTGCTCCGCAGATGATGTCGGCACGCTTGGAGGCTCCGGCTCCTTTAAGAGACAGGTGCCATAATTAAAATCCAAGCATCACAAGACATGTCGCTGCACGTTCAATCCTTGACATCGTCATCATCATCATCGATAACCACCGGCCACGGTTCGAAGATAGGTTCATCTAGATCCACATTTGGACGGGGCCGACACAACCAGGATTCCGTCGGATCCTATAATGCATGCACATCACACGAACACATGTCAGGTTGCAATCTTATAGAGGCAGTCCTTTGGCAGCCTCTTGCCACTGGCAATCATCTTCGTGTCATCCTCATGCATGCAATGCACACTCGCTCACTCCAACATGCACTATCACAATGCCTCGTCCTCGTCCTCGCTCTTCGGCGAAGATGGCGGCGTCGGTATGTCCGACGCCCCACAATACGACACCGTTGCCTCTGGATCGAGGCACTCGAGCGGAAAGAGCAGCCCGCACGCAAGTTCATCGAGCTTCATGTCCATATCGTTGTCGCTCCACTCCTCCTCGGAGCTAAGCTCCGCGAGCAGCGACATGGAGTCCCGGTCGGAGAAATCCTGCAAGTCATAGGGTTGCATGATGGGAGAAAAAATGAACGTATTTCCAACCTGTCCTCATCGTCTTCCGACCGATCTCCCAGCTGTCGTGTCGACGCTTGCGAAAGCAGGGGCTCATCCTCAGATCGTGCAACATTACACTAGCGAAGCCCAGCAACAGCACCATCCTCAATCGGAGCGGCCTCCGTGGCAATCGAGGCGAGGTAGTCGTCCTCGATCGCCTTCTCCGCTTCCTTCTTCTCCGTCTCCGTCTTCGCAGGTGTCCTCTCCTCCAAGCGAAAAGCAGGGCAAACTAGAAAGCAATGCATGCCAAACCCTCTCAAAGGACAACAGGCGACTTCGGATCCTTCGGGCGAAGGTCGTGCTTCAAATCCGCGATTCTCGTGAAGCGGCTGTTCTTACCTGGGATCCGGTGCTTTTGCTAATTGCCAAATGGAACCGATCTGCAATTGAGCCGCTCGATCGAAAAAGGTACCTCAAAGATTGAAGGAGCTTCTTGATCTTCACGGCCTCCGCGGCCGCCTTGTTGATCAACGACTCATTCGGCTGGACGGGGAAGAGCTTCTTCCCGAGCAACTCGTTCAGCAGAAGCAGGGTGTCGGTAACCATATAAGCGCTCGGCACCGTGGTTGGAAGGGCTTGAACCCAAGGCTTCAGGAGGAAGTAGTGGCGGGACACCTCACGCGCCGTCGGTCGCGCAGTGTCCGACTCCAGTCGGACGATGGCACCGCCCCTCCAATTGGGGCCTTCTATCAAGTCCTTGACTGCCACAGGCAGGTGCTGCTCCATGGCCGCTGCAATGCCCTGCACCTTCTCGTAGGTCCACTTCACTTTGCCAGCGCCTGCACGTCGCATGACTATAACTACCACGCATGAAGCCCATGCAAAGATCGGTGCACAGAAGAGGTGCATGCTCCACAAATCATTGCAGCGAAGTCGCGGACCGACCGCCATTCAGGCGGTGCCGCGGCGTCGGCCGCGGCGTCAGCTGGGACGAGTGCCATGGCCGCAGCAGCATCGGCCATGACCCTAGGGCCCTGCACTTGGAGCTAGTGCTGTGCTGTGCCTATGATTGCCCATGCAGTGCAGCCTAACGCCCCGAGAGAGCTTTGTGAAGCTGACCCTCGCGAGTGCCATGAGCCTGCCTGACCCTGGAGTGAGCCTGCGTGCCATGTCCGTCTTTCACTCTTCGGGCCGTGCCGTCTGCGGCATGGGGCACTGCAGGTCTTGACGCTTCTCTCACACAAACACCCTTCGTGCAACTGTGCAGTTCCGTGAGCCTCCCAAGCGATGTTCATGAACAGCTGCACGTGCATCAAATCATCATGGGCCTGCCGGTTCACCAAGTCTGCAGGCAAATGTTCTAGCGAGACCGCGGGAGCCCGCCTCGAACTGCTGACTGCTGATCCATGCTTCTTCCGCGAAAGGGAGCTCATGGCATGCATTCAGAGCTCTGCTTCAAGAAAACTCTATTGTTCGCTCCGTCGCATCCCTCAAGATGCAAGCGCTACAACATGAGAATTGAAATTGTCGCTTCGAGAAGGTCTGTCGCAGCATGCTCTCGAAGCTGCCATGGAAGATTTCTGCTCTCGGACAGCAGAGCCGCCAGCAGTGCTTCGACTCGATCGTCTGAAATCTTGCAAAAAGGACATGAGGGCTGTGATGTTGGGAGGCTTGCAAGTTCAAGCGAGCGAAAACTGAGAGTGTGTACGAGAGTGTGCATGTGTATAATATCTACATATATATATATATATCTATGCTGTATGTATGCATGTGTATATATATATATAGTCTTCTTCTTTTTTCTCTCTCGAGGCGCTGGTTATAATGACAAGTTTGAGCCGAAAGTGGGGTTTTATGGGGTTCTTTCTGTTTTTTCGTCCCGACTCAAACGCATAGATATAGTCAAATCTCCGTGTTGGAGATGTTGGAACTATAAAACATCAGTGGAAACAAAATACATCATAATGATGTACGCTGCTCCGGCGTTGCGCAAACTACACTATCGGAGCCTCACGGTGAGGCGACCACCCCTTATATGAGACGGGCCGCTGCTGTCACGGGAGGCTCGTGCTGGTTCTTTACGGCCGGGCAGGGTTTGAACGAGCAGCACAGGCGCATGCAGTGCCTCTGCGGCGCGACTGCTCCGTCGCGACCGCATGTGACCTGGGTTTGCGAGTGCACCGAGGCGCTCCGGCAGGACCACCCCCCTCCGACGACGCGAGCGGAGGAACGCATGTTTGCAAAGTCGACTCCCTTGAAACCTCCGGCGCCTGCCTCCTCTGACTGTGGGGCTTTTCGGGCGGACTTAGATGCTGCTTTCCGTGCTGCACTCGGCTCGGGCAGGAGCAGGCTTTATGCGGCTACTGATGGCTCCAGCCATCTATCTGTCGGTGCTTATGCGGTGGTGATCGGTGATCCGTCTTGTGTCTATGCCATGGGCACTGGGGCCGAGGATCAATCCCCGTATCGGCAAGAAGTTCTGGCCCTCCACGCGGCCTTTGCTTCGGTCCACCGGGTGTGGAGTGAGGGCTGCGTGCCGTGCCTCTTTTTCTTGACCGACTGCAAAGCTGCCCTCACGGCCATCTCGGGTCAAGGTGATGATCCATTCACGTTGGGTCTCTTGCTGAGGGACGTGCGCCGTCTCTGGAAGGAGCTGGAGAGGCGGGGCTGTGCTATCTCCTTGATTTGGGTGCCGTCACATAATAAGCACCCCCGCTGGAGGCCTTCGCCGGATCATGATGCGGATGTGCTCCGCGCCTTTAACCATGCTGCAGATCAGGCGGCGGGCAACTGCATGCAAAACAGGCTCATGGGCTCTCTAAGGGAGCGATGGCATCAGCAGTGTGATCAGGCTCGGGATTGGGAGCTTGCCACCATCCGGATCGCGGCAGCTGCTGCCGAGAAGCTGGATAAATATGTGAAAAGCGTTCCTCTCGATGATGCTGAGCCGGAAGGGGCCAGGCCCTGACCATTTTGGCTGCACCTGGATGATCTTGGACCACACATCTTGGGCCTCTCATTCCTTGATTTGCCCTTGACGATGCCTTCGCCTCCCCTTAGGGTTTCCTTGGGTTTAGGCCCTTCTCCCCTAGGGGTACCCGTGTGCATCTTGCGTGAGCTCAGGCCTTCTGCTGCGCGCGGCTTTGCTTCTTTGTGTGGCGATGCTGCTGCTGGCGGAATTCTCTGCGAGCTCGCACTCTTTCACGTTTTCGGCGGAATGCTTTATCACTTCCTGCCTGCTCCTCTTTGGGTTTGTTCGGGTTTAGGCCCCACCTTCTCCCTAGAGGCATCCGTGTACGCCTTACGTTAACCATAATCTGTTTGAGCGAGGATTCGCTTTGCTGCGTGTCGCTGCTGCTGTGGCGGGGGTTTTCCCTTCCTGGCTTTCCGTGACTCTGCGCTCTCCTTGCTTCCCCTTTTTGGGTTTCTTTGGGTTTAGGCTCCCCTTAGGGCTTCCCGTGTGCTCCTGGAGTGTGCTCAGAGCCTCTGCTGAGCGCGGCTCTGCCTGCGTGAGTGGGTGATGCTGCTGCTGACGGGCTTTGCTGGTCCCAGGACTTTTCTCATGACCAATGCTTGATCTGTGGGGCTGTGGCCCATCCGTGTGCGCCTGGTGTGAACTTGCTCTACTCCTAGCGCGGCTAGCTCGACTGTGTTTGGCGCTGCTGCTGCTGGTGTGGACTGCTGGTTCACGCTACTTCCTCTTCTTCGTCAACTACAAGGGCGGCTGCTGGCGGCTGCGACTGGCGAGGTCCTCTGAGCTCCCCTGACGACGCCTTCTGAGTTGATGTGAGAGCCTCCCGCGAGCTTCTTTTGCCTTGCTCAGACCTGTAGCCTTGCTGCTCTGTGCAGGGGACCTGACTCGTTGCTTTGATGCTCAGGTCGTTTTGAGTTGTTCTTCTTTCCGAACCGTAGCTGTGCTGCTCGGAATGTTTCCGGATGTGATTGCGTAGCTAATCTGATACATCCAATTCGTTGCTTTTCACCAGAGGAGGTTTCATGTCAGACGGACTTCGGCTTCCTGACTTCCCTCCCATTCAACGTGTGGCGAAGGCTCTCTTAATGTTGCCTCGTCTTTTGTTAATAGTGTCGCTGATGATCATCGCTCTGGACTTGTGCTGCACAGCTTCGCACTCTCCTAGATGTATCAGCAGGTTGCGGGATGTCTCACCCGACCCGCGAGGACCTCGGACAGCAGCTGAGCGGTCTTCTCGAAGTCGCTCAGCCCCCAGACCACCGGAAATTCTGGAGTTTTGGGCTCAAGTGGGGAGGGGCTCCGCGTGCCTTGAGCTGGTTAACCTGTACTTTCCCGAGTGCAGGGCTGACACTTCCCACACGTGCCTTCGGGCCATGGCTCCTTCTTCTGGAGGCCTTGA